ATTATACATTGGCTGTACTTGTTCATGTTCTACTTTTACAAGAATCAATGATAATTTAATAGTGGGGAAGAAGTAGGAACCTCAGTCTTGCATATCTTAGCTATGAATCTATCCTTGAAAATCCACTGAAAGACTGCACTAGCTTAAGAATGTTAAAAAGAAAACTTGGATTTTGATGGCTTTCTTAGACTTTTCATCAGTGTATGCATAATCCAGTACAAAGAAAATCCTAAGCAGAAAGTATGTCTGTACCCAGCGCTAAAAATAGAAGAGGAAGTGCCGTAACGCAAATGCATGTAAATCAAGATAAGTCAGAGGGCTTCTCATGCTGGAAGAATAAGCAATAGGTTAGCTATTATTTGAATAATTTCTGTATGAAAAATATTGGTTTGTGTAGTTTATAATGGGGACAGTAAGAATTTGCCTGATGAAGGTAACAGGTTTGGGGGATTTGCATTGTGCCTGGAAGCTAAGGCGACTCTGTCAATGGTTACCTTGTATGGAACTTTTCTCTTCCATCATTTTGAATTAGTGATGATTTAAATGAAGTTTTCGAGTAATTCTTTTTTGTCGTTACCCCAAAAAACAATATACATCATGGAAAGATTCAACAGTGAACTTGAGGTACAGCCTCCTAGGCAAAAATAGAGATGTGCCTGAGACTTAAATCAGTCTGGACAATGTCTGATATGAAGGCAATCATCTTCATTAAGCGAAACCTTTTTGAATCCAATCACTTAAAGAATTACGGTTAAATGCTTCTGGTAGGAAAGATGTAGGAAATCTATTATTTCAAAGGAATATTTGCAAGTTTATGCATGAACTTCTCTGTGGTTGTATTTGCAGCCTTTGTTACTTTTCTTTTAGGCCTACTGCATGTTATAGGGATTTGTGTGTTTTCAAATGGCTATCTGAAATGTCATTTATGTAAGGTAAAAATATTAATCTTTCTAAAATGCTTAGATTTTCAAAGATGAGATGATTTGTCATTACAAGTAATAATTACAAGCCATATTTTTTTTCAGGACAAAGATCAAAATTGTTCCCTACCACCAATATAAAATTTAGTTAATTCACACTAAAGTTAACACACTCTGCATCAGTTGCAGTTGAGGGTCGTGTTTGTGATGTTGAGCTATTTATCAGCATGGTGGTCAATTTTGTACAACGTACTTAATCTTATCAACAAGACCTAAGGGTTATATTGAGTTCATAACTGGGGGGTGAATAAAAAGCCAAAACAGAACTGAGTTTAAAGAACATAATCTTTAGTTGATGTCACTAACAATCTGATTCGGTAGAAAAAGACTAAACATTTGCTGAAAACAAGACTGTTGTCTGTAGTGT